TGGTTCCCTGACAGGTAACAGGGTTGGGAGATACAGCAAGCACTGCCAAGTCAGATCTCAGTCAGCCAGAGAAGGGGCTGTTTGCTAAAGCAGCTAAGTCCAGCCTCTGCCTATGGCAGCCACGAGGGGGGTCCTTAGTTTCTACTCAGACCTCTCCTCTAGGTCATGGACCTGACTGGAGCTCCTGCCAAACTGACTACCATAGGGTTGATTTCGACCAATAGTGACCCCTCCTTGGGTTTCCAAGGCATTATCTCTACAGAAGTAGACTGCCTAATCTTCCTTCTGAGTGGCTGGTGGGTTTGAACTGCCAGTCTTCTGGTTAACTGTCAAATGCCTTAGGTACTCCACCACCAGAGTGACCCTGTAGGGGAGAGTAAAACTCCCCTATAGGATTCCCAAAGTTATAATCTTTATGGACACAGGCAGCCACATTGTTATCCTACAGGGCAGCTGGTGGGTTCAAACTGCCGACCTTTTGGTTAGTAGCTGAGTGCTTTAACCATTATGCCAAAAGAACTTATGAAACAGTGGTTAAAAACTGAGTACAGTTAAGTCAGAAAGGGTAGCTCCCACTGGGACCTGTAAGTTTCAAGTAAGATCTCTGGCTGCCCTTTCTGCCATCACTGTTCACAAGTAAGAGCTTCACTCCTATTTTAGCACATCTCTTAGAAACATCAGTATCTGAGCATTAGATAAAGAGATCCCAGTAACTCTGCTATTCAGGATTGATTATTACTATAATTTAGAGGAGGAAAGGGGAGACCCCCAGACCAAGGAAATGAAAGCAGCATCACTAAGGGATCTGCTTTCTCCCACCAGTGTTGTCTTATCTGCTTGGCCAGGGTCCCAGTAAATTTGATCTGCTTGCCCTTGAAACAGGTCTGAAGGAACCAGAATTACCCATATAGTCCAGTCTCTCTCTGGCATACAGATATTTTCTCTGCTTTCTCTTTCATGAGATTTCACCTTCAGTGTGGGACAGGTGTTGGAAGAGAAAGGATAGTGGTCTCCTGGCTCCTGAGAATCAGATTTGTGCAAGGACTTGGTCATGCTTTCTCCCAAGCTTCAGAGTCTGAAAAATTAGGACTCAACCTGGGAAGACTCCTTTGAACCTTTGGGCTATGTTCAGCATAGGGTGACAGCAAATAGCTCCACTACACATCTGTCAGTGGAGGCTCTGAGTTTTTACAATGAACAGCTTCCAGGAGGTCCTAGCCTAGGAAGAAAGGCCTGGCAATCTATTCCCAAAAATCAGCCAATGAAAACGTGATGGATCAGAAAGGTCAATGCCACTGTGCCTGGAGTTGCCTGAATGAGTTGGATGCAGACTTTATGGGCAGCTAACAAGGATCAGAGGCCCTAATTCTTTGCTGACCACTCACTGCTACAATACTTCAGATGAAAGTCTCTTAATGACTTGCTCCAGCCTCCTCAGTTTAAACAATTTTTACACTCCTTAAACAAGAAATGAGCACACTTAACTACCCACAGTGGGCCAGGAATCACAACCATTCTGGTTTCTTTGGTGCTCATAAAGACTATCTATTGCCTAGCCTTCCTTAAACTGTGAACCCTGTCAAGTGTAAAATGTCAGCAATCTGTTCTTCACCCCAAGGAGGACACAGGCTGAGACCTTGGGGATCTGTCTCCATAGTGGAAGAATGCCAAAGCTGGGGCAGGGAATCAGAGTTGCTCCATTCCTGCTCCTCTCTTCAACCGTAGCAGAACCAGGCTTTTAGGAGGAATTTAACTGGGAAGGGGGTTAGGCCAGCGGGACGTGGGGTGAGGTGTCAGAGCTGCGTCCCGCGAGCGCAGAGGGGGATTCGGAAATGCGGCCACCATGGGAGAGAAGGAACCTCCTTCCTCCGATTTCCCACCAATTCCGGGATCCAGCTGCAGCTCCTGCATCTGCCCTTCCGGACGTCGACAGTCCCGCGTCCCCTTGGGAAGGCAAAAGGGGGTAAATAAAGGAGAGAGAAGCACCTAAATCGACTTTGCCGGAGCGGAACCTTGCCGCGGCAAACAGCACCGGCGCGAGCCCTCCTCCTGTCCGCCGTCCCTGGCTACCAATGCTACGCCACCGGCTCGCGCGCGTCGTTTCTCGCAGCGCCTTTAACGCCCCC